CATGCATAATTATTCTTTTTTCATGGATTTACTCAGGAATTCCAAAGGTGTTTAATGAATTTCCATGATTTATGCAAGACTACATCTTTTTGTTTCACCAAATTTACATAAAAAATAAAAATTCAAATTTTAAAATATAAATATTAAACATTTTTATGGGTTTGAACACTTTTATCTGTGACAAAATGCATCACAGAGACCAGTTTCAGGACATCCTCCATGATTCTTTGAGGGGGGTGGGTGTACAAAAACTGCTGATAAAATTTATAGGAGGTGATCTGAGAAGAAAGGTGCAGCTTATTAGCTGAATTATAGTTATTCTGATATTTTAATTATGTAAATATGCCAAATTTCTTCATCAGTTAAATTTGCAATTTATTAATATTTCAGTACAATGATATCCTTAATAGATCATGCTCATATAAGCATCACTGACTGAGACTTAAATCAAAAGTGACAGTCAACACCTACATATAAATGAAAAAATACCAAAAAACAGTCTCTGACAAACTGAAAAAACATGAATGTCAGCTTTGAAAGCATGAATAAAGTCCTGAGAACCACAAGAGGCATGCCATGGTGCTAAGTGACATTCTGCACTACATGTATGATGCATGATTAGAACTCAGAATAAGTATTATCATGCAGACTCTGACAGTATTTAAGGATTTTTTGGTCGTAACCTTCCTTCCTGTGAAAAATTCTTAATGAATTTTACTTATGTAGCTTATGTATGAAGTTTATTAGACAGATATGACTCATTTCATTATTTCTATTCTTCCAATGCAGTAACATATGTATCAATGGAGGTGTGAATAAATTAAAATAAATCATATGTCTGTAGAAATTATCATTCTGTGAGAACATATTTCACTTGTTTACATTTTATCGCAGTTGTCGCTTGTGCTGAAAATTCATTCGCAAACCTAGAATTAGTCTATTCTTGAAAAATCAGCTTTAACACCCTTTACCGCAAAGTCTGTAGATAACAAAATTGACTGCGGTCAGCTGCTGCAAATAATGTTAAGTCATATAAATTGAAAAAACAACATTCTCTGACTTATTTCTACATCTTAGATGCATAATGCTACCTTTTTACTCATATTTCAAAGTACTGAGTGTAAAAAATAACCTATTGTTAATTTTTACACAGAAATCTGTGAAAAATAATGTAAATTCTAATTCTAATTTCAAAATTGTGTGTTTTCTAATAAAAAGTTAATAAAATCACATATTCTGTTGAAATATGCCTTTTAAAAATGAAAAATGTCTTAAATAAGGATTTAAATGATTTTTCATAATCACGTTCAAGGTATCACACCGGTAATTGTTTTCACTATATAATTCTATATAGCATAAAAAATCGTTAAAAATCAGGTATTTGTTTACATGAAAAAATATTTAGCAGGAGGTGTTAAACATTACCTGTCACATTAGCTGACACCAAAAAACAGGGTACCCACACGGCATTTTCGGACTTTCTCCATCTGCAAACAGGGCTACCCTCAAATCCACGTGTTTTCACTTTGTTTATAAACACCTCGAGTGCATCACAGGAAGTAGCCTCCTATGCCCTAAAAAAAATAGTTCCTGTCAAAAACCTTTATTTATTCACAAAGTACATAAAATTTACTAGGCACAGGTACCAAAGTTGTAAAAATGGCTTGGAAGAAAATAGAAAAACGCCTCAAAAGAAAAGAAAAATAATTTTATATGTATGGACCTACATTTGACTAAGTTCATTTTGATTGGTCAATTACCGGTGTGATACCTTTAAGGTGTAATATCCCTCTGGTAAGAGAGATATAAAGGTGTAACATCCCTCTGGTAAGAGAGATAACTTTCTGAATACATTTTTTCATGAATTTCAATGAAATGTCTTGTCAAATGTACGTAGTTCTTTAATGAGGACCAATTTTATAGTCAACTCAAACAAATCTAATCTATTTTACAGTTGTCGATTTCTAGTTTCTTTTAAAGGTGCATGGACACATATTTGAAGTTAATATTTTCTGTATAATATCACGAGTTATATATTTTAACAGCATTTCACACAAAAATATATCAAAAATTTTATTTCATTTTAAAGTTATTGAAACTTCAATTTCTTTTATGGGTTTGATTGACACATCCTTGCACTCTTACAAATTTTACTTTTATTCTTAATACTTAGGAAAAGTGGCAATCTTGTTGTGTATTGTGAAAAATATTAAAACTTTAATCCAGAAAATAAATTGACGACGGATTTTTCCGTTATTTCCCGATCATGACAAGGAGCACACGGCGGGTGTAACCGGTCAGCAGGGGATGTTCACTCCTCCATTGCACCTGGTCTCACCTCTGATGTTTCGGAGGTCCGTGTTTGCTCTGCTCCTAACAAAACCCCTTCACAAGTATCGTCAGTCCGCGCTACGTGTTGTGTACAGAGTTTAGCAAACTGATCATGCCCGTGAAACGCACGCTGTTTTTGTAAACAGGGCACGAGCTCTGTTATTGTTTATGTTAACGATTCACCGAGTGTGTTCAATTCTTATAGTCTGCTCACCACAACTGCACTTGTTGATGAATGCATATTATTTTGGACCTAATACGAGCAAAGAAAACTATTGGATATTTTGTTTTTAAAAGCAATGCTTCATTACGTTTCTTAATCAGCACTAGATAAGTATAACATTAAACATTATTTCCATATATACCTCATACTTTTAATTTTATTGTGAGATAAAAAAAATTGATATTTCTATTTACAATATCAAAATTTCTTCATAAAATTATTAGAAATAATATTCATTTCTGATAAAGTAAGCACCGCTTCATACTTCAAACTGTTTTCCGTTTGAATCTAAGGCTATTGTTGTTGATGAAAATAAGTGTTTGGAATTGAAATAAAAGTTGGTGAAATTTGGAGCAGGGCGATATTTCACGTACCTTTAATAATTAATCTCGACCACTCGGGTTGCTGGGACCGCTTTCTGGGACAGCTCGAACAGTTTTCTGTGACCGCTGGGACTGTGTGCTTGGGCCGCTGTGGAACTGCTCTGGGAATGCTGTTGGACTGTTGGAATCTTAAATTTACAGTGTTCTTTCTAAATATCCATAGCCAGCAATGATATTAAACACTTTGCCAAATTAGGATTTCTGGTTTTTTTTTTTTGGTTTTTTTTTGTTTTTTGTTTTTTTGTTTTTTTTTTTTACATTTTTCAAAAACATAAATATATTAATAAACATATGTTACTTAAAGTAACATCGAAAACCCCACTGATATTTTTCATGTTATCTTCAAGTTTAAAAAAAATTTCGGGAATAATTTTTTCTTTTTCTGACTTAAAAATTTATAAATCTCAGATATTTTCTATGTAAACGTGCATGTATTTAAAAAAAAAAAACATACCCAAAAATTAAAACATTTTTAATCTTCTATTTCATCATTAAGCATTAGATAGTTTGCTAATGCATTCATATACGTAGATGTATATTTCTTTGCAAACAAATTGCAATGCTTCCTTTACACTTCAATTCCCTGCACTTCTTGAGTCTCACGCCCCGTGGGGATCCGGGTTAGAATAGGTCCTCAGTACCCCCTTGCTTGTCGTAAAAGGCGACTAAATGGGGCGGTCCTTCGGATGAGACCGTATAAACCGAGGCCCCGTGTCACAGCAGGTGTGGCACGATAAAGATCCCTCCCTGCTCAAAGGCCGTAAGTGCCGAGCATAGGCCTAAATTTGCAGCCCTTCACCGGCAATGGTGACGTCTCCATATCAGTGAAATATTCTGGAGAGGGACGTTAAACAGTATACAATCAATCAATCTTGAGTCTCACAACCTAAAAAAAGACGTTCTGAAATTACATATAAGTTTAAGCAAAATTTATCTTTTTTTTTTTTTTTAAATTAAAAGAATAATTATTAAACATTTTCACTTCGATCTCAAAAGAAAATGAAGATCGATCTGAGAATCCATGTTAATACCTGACAGGGCAGCAATGATTTTTTCATCTAGGTTTTTGCGATCCTTGGTTCTTGTTGTGATTAGATATGTATCTATACGAGTTTGTTGGTGCATGAACACAAATCCGTTTACAGGATCATTATAAATGTACAATATTGCCCGTGTACCTAGGGGTGTCATTGTGAGCTTAACGGTTATGAGGTTATTCGCGTTTGGATCGATGTCAAATGCTGTTGTTACTTTTGCGAGGAATTGGCTTTGTGATGTCCTGTTTCAGTAAGACTGATTTATTATGAATAACTTGCATTACAGTATACAGGGTTAATTATTTTCGCCCCGTGTTATTTTTACCCTTTCACGTTTGGAAACAAATTTGCCCAGAAAGATTTGAGATTTAAAAATCTAAAGATTTAAATTCGCCCAGAAAGGTTTTAGTTAAAGATATCATACTATTTACTTTGAATTCGCCCCGTTTTGAATTCGCCCACCTCCGACGAGGGCAAAAGGGGCGAAAAAAAAATCGGGGGCGAAAATTTCCCTGTGTACAGTATAAGCTTTCCGAAATGACTTGTTTTCTTTGGATTATCGGTGATATCTATAATTTAATTTACCATAGTTTGCTGATTTCTTGCTAAAGATCCGAGAATCCAGATTAAGACCAGAGAGGGCAGCACTGATTTTGTCATCAAGGTTTTTGGGATTCTTGGCTCTTGTTGTGATTAGGTAGGTATCTCGAAGAGTTTGTTGGCGCATGATCACAAATCCGTCGACAGGATCATCATTTACGAACAAAATTGTCTGTGTATCTAGTTTTTCTGATAAAAAATGTTAAATTTTCTTAGTAAATGAATACAGTGATGTCTATTATGTGAATAAAAATTTGTATTTCTCTGGAGAAACAGATAATTTTATCTTCTTGGTAAGTGACATTGTTGACTAAAATATTCTCTCTGTGGATCATTCATTCATACACATGTAATTAATGTATTTTTTAATACTTCTTGGAATAGCTCATAAGTTATAAAAAGAAAACTTTCGTTGAAAACAAGGACCTTTTGTCGACATCCGAATGACTTCAAACTTCACTGCTTCGGTTGGAGACAAATCCAAATCCAAAGGAACAAACTTCAGTGCTGTGGTACGACATTCTTCTAAATTTCTAAAGTGGAAAATTCAATAAAGAAAAATCTTGTAAATTTTATCTTCTACATCTGTATACATTGATCCTCAATAAGAATATGCTATGTAAAATCTTAGCAAATTTATTTAAATTGGAAAACATTAATTAAAATGTTTAATCAATTCATATCAGTGAATTTATTATTTGTTTTTCGATCGGACTGATAACGTTTTTAATTGGGTGGTTATGTTTGCTATGTAATGTGGAACATATTTATAAGAAGATATGACTGTTATATAAACTGAAAAAAAAAACTTACGGAAACCAGCGATGACGTGTTTTTACCAAGCTCCCATCATGAAGAACCTCAAAATCCCAATAGGTGTTGTCTCTGACGTCCGCGCTACGTGTGTCCATAAACAGGTACCATCGACCTTTTATCTGATTACATAATTATTTATCCTTTTATGATAAAATATTTTAAATCAACATATGCCAAAAATATGCAATGGACAAAATTTGTTCTGTAAGCCAGAATAAATTAACTTTAATTTTAAATATTGGTTTCTTTAAAAGCAAAATTGTTTTTTTCACAATTTTAACTCATTACTCTCAGCCATGGACAACTAAACTTTGTGTATTTTTTTCCAGCCACATGTAAACATTGTAAACATTATTTTTCGACAATGAGTGGATGATAAATTTAAGGGAAAAAAAAGATTACATATATCTATTATTAAGTAAGAGGCGTGAGAATATTAAAACAATTTGTTAATTACCTTTCCATGATCCAGATGCTGTGGATTCAAAGATTCGCTTCTTTTATAACTACCAGAAATCTGAGAAGACAGTGTCCTTTGGCAGAGAGCAAAAAGAGAAGGGCAAAGATAGCAAATCTTTTGGAAAACATCTCCAGGCTGAAATCGACTCGGATCAAAAATGAAAGCAAGTCGGAATGTTCTTACAAGTGCCAGGAATGCATTTTTATATCTCACTTATTTCTATAAATTAGCTCAGCCTTTTCCTGAACTATCTAGATTATGCAATTAATGAAGATAAAGTATAATAGATAAAGTATATACAGCTGCATCGAAAATTTGGGTATTTAGCATAACAGAATCACCGATGTCCAGACGGTTGGTCAGCATTAAAGTCAAGGCCACACATGAAAGGTCAAGAGTTAAAATAATGGTATTATAAGATCTAACATACCTTTACTTGTTTAACGTTTATGAACAGGTAGATAAAACATTACTTCTATTCTCTCAAAACCATGTCAATGGTACATGAGGTACAGAAACATACAAAACATATGTACATATAATACAGTGGGTCAAGCAGAAGGTGATAACTAAGGAGAACAGACAATACTATAAATTTTAGAAATAGATAAACATAATTTCTTCAAAGAAACAGCCTCATTTTGGCACACGACTTAACAAGCTTGATAATATTTGGATTAGAACAAAATTTTTGGTTCAAATAACCTTTCTTCAATTTGTTTAAAGCACTGCAATCTAAAATATTCATCTCCTATCTGGTTACTACTGCATAAGCTACAACTTCTTTCATGCCATTCCATCTTCCTGTTTCAGTTGAAAGGTGGTGATTTATGGTTCTAAACTTATGATTACAGTGCTAAATATTTTTTGCTCTCAAAAGTGCTTTTAAAAATTCTATGATTAAATCTTTTTGAAGATTCTTGAACTTCGCTATTCCACTTTTGAATATGTGGATCTTTTAATTATAATCTTTATTTGACTGTAGCAGTCACGCATTCTACATTATGAAAATATTGCTCATACCATATCTCTGATAAACCACATTTATTCATTTCTTTTGTACAAATGAAATCCATTTCCCCTTTATCATATTGTTTACGTAGATCTACACAATTTGTTTTCTTTTCCATACACAAGTTTTGCCCAATATTCTATCATTCTTGAATAAATATTTAGGTGTATTTTCAGATGATAAAACAAAATTGACATCATGCAGTTAATATACAGAAGTATTATGCAGAATGTCCAATGTGAGGTAGTCTTGCATGCATATTACTCAGAGATTTGCTAGCTTGAGCGCGCCAGCAAAAAGCCAACCACGAACTGTGCTGACCATAATCTTTTATTAGTTAAGTATTTAAGAGAAATGCCACACCAGAATTTTATTTCATAGATCTTGAAGACACTTTTTTCATGGTGTTCCGATGTGGCCATTTGCAAAAGTGTAATACTCCATTAGAAACAACGCGCTAGCGCGAAGTAACAATGTTGTTCACAACACACCTTCGCACAACAACACGCTGTCACTCTATCACAACTTTACACAACACGCCGTCGCACTAACACAAAACATCACTATGGCAAGTCCTTTTACTATTTATTCGTGATATTAAAAAAATCTTTCAATAAGAGAGATATCTCTTTACCTACTTCTGTGAATAAAAGGATTACTTCCGGTAAGAGAGAAGTCGTTTTCAATGGAATTTAAATGAAAAAAAGAATTGTGGTCCCCCGCTTTCGGAGTCTTTGTGGGTGAGATGTTATTTTTATGACATATTGTGTCTGATATAAACACCCTATCATATGTCATTTATTCAGAAATTATCATTGAAGTTGATTTTTTTTAAAAATAAGATCAATCGTGAAGGTCAAGGTCAAGGGGTAAGAAATCATAGCATATACTCGGAATTATCTTGTCACAGGTAATGCACATGTCATATATGAAAGCCCTATCTCTTCTCAACATAAGGAACAAGATGTGTTTGTTAAACACTGATGACCCCGAATGGCAACATAACGAAGATTAAAATTTTCTTAAATGCAAATTAAATATATTATTACCAAAGTAGGGTTTTTCTCACAAGAAATACGTTTGTGGAATACAAAATCCCCAGCACCACCTAGTCGAGAACAAATTTTTGAAAGGTAGGTCAAACTCCAAGGTGAAAGGGTCTGAGTTGTTGGTTTCTTAAGAAAGGTCTTGTTACAAGTAATACATATGTGAAGGATGAAAACCCTAATCCTAACCGTTCAAAAGTTATGACCAAAGTTAAAAAATTTTAAAAGTAGGTCAACTCCAAAGTCAAGGTCAAAGGGTTAAAGTTCTTGATATCCAATGAAAGGACTTCTCACAAGGATTACATATATGAAATATAAAAGCCCTAGCCCTTACCATTCAAAAGTTATGGTCAAGGTTAAAGTTTTTTTCATAAGTAAGTAAATCTCCAAGGTCAAGGTCAAAAGGTTAAAGTTCTTGGTATCCAATGAAAGGTCTTGCCACAAAAAATATATATGTGAAATATGAAAGTCCTAGTATCTACCGTACAAAAGTTATGGCCAAAGTAAAAGTGGAATTTTTGTGTAAAAGTAAATCAAACTACAAGGTCAAGGTCAAAAGGTCAAATTTGGTGGTACCCAAAGAAAGGTCTTGTCACAAGGAATATACATGTAAAATTGTATAGTCATAGCTCCACTAAATCAAAAGTTATGGGCAAGGTTAAAGTTTTTGTGACGGACGGACAGACTGACGGACAGACGAATAAGATTTAATGTCCCCTCGCTTTCGCGAAAGAGGGGGACAATAAAGAAGATAGATATCTCTTTTCAATAAAGAGATATCTTTTTTTGCTTGGGAGATATCTCTTTTATACACTTTTGAAAGATATCTCTCTTTCACTTTAAGAAATATCTCTTAAGATAAACTAAGAGAGATATTTCTTTTACTTTAAGAGATTTCTCTTTGACTTCGAAAGGTATCTCCAAATGTAAAAGAGATATTTCTCTAGGTGAAAGAGATATCTCTTCAACGTTCAGAGATATCGCTTTTTACGAAAGAGATATCTGTTCGAGTGGAAGAGATTATCTCTCTAAGTATAAGAGATATATCTCTAAGTTTAAGAGATATCTCTCTAAGTTTAAAAGATATCTCTTTTTCAAAGAGATATCTATTAAAAATGAGAGATATCTCTTTAAGTAGGGAGATATCTCTAATTTTTAAGAGATATCTCTCTAAATTGAGAGATATCTCTGTAATTATAAGATAAATGTTATTTTCCGAATAAATAGCAAAAGTGCTTGCCATACATAACACTCAAACAATTTTACACAATCAAATTTTGTGTGATAGCGCGACCACGTGTTGTGTAAAGTTGCAAAAAAGTTTCTGTAATAAATTTTTCAACCCATAGTCTAATGATAGGTTGAAAAAAATTATTAATACAGAAACAAGTGTCTGTGATTCAAAGACCGATATAATCTCTTTATTACGCATTCTATAGGATTTTTTTCAGAGAGAAAAATTTTTTTGCAAATTATATGATTTGCTCTTAACAAATGCATGATGTTAATGTTTAATAAAATATATGTAAAGAAAGGCTGTATCTACATTTTAACTTTTTGAATAAAAAATTATGAAAATAAAACACATATTTATTATTTGTGAATATGTTTTAAATCAATGATAAAAGTTTTCTATTAGATAAATCGAGATGCTTTGATTTATATTTTAAAGAGTAGATTGAATTTGGAGAACATCGACGATTTACATTGTGTACATTCCGTACAACTGTTAATTGTTATGTGTGTCATGTAACTATATTGTTCTGTACTCATTTTCATTCTTGCTTTGAATAATCGCTTTTCTACGTAATTCGAATATGATCAAGTAGTTCACTAGCCATTCCATATACGAGTAAAACCATTTGTCTTCGTTTTTTAATTGAGGATCTCAGCGTCATTGTTTTAGCTCATTCACACAATTTACGAAAAATAATGTTTTTGATGAGTTTCTAGGACTTCACTGTTTTTCTAGTTAAAGAAGGTAACACAGAGCGACTTATAGAAGAAAACTATAACTACTCGGCCTTGGTGAAGTACAGGTATAATCTTTCAAAGACATTTTGCAACACTCTCTCTCTCTCTCTCTCTCTCTCTCTCTCTCTCTCTCTCTCTCTCTCTGTCATGTTGTAAATTTTGAATTTACCGGGTGGCAGTAAATACAAAATTTACAACATGACAACTTTGTCATGTTGTAAATTTTTGTCATGTTACTGCCACCCGGTAAATTCAAAATTTACAACATGACATCTCTCTCAGAAATGAGGAAATTAAGAAATACTAAAAAAATAAAGATATAACTATTTTATATAATTATATAAATTAATTATAAATACATGTATAATACAACTAAGGAATTTATAGCACAAACGGTGCAAAAGCGATGCAAGAACAAAGCAACGGTAACAAAACAAAATAAACCTTCACCCTACAAGAAAAATAAGTTGAAACATACCTACAAAAGAAACCAAGGAAGAATAGAGGCGAACAGGCCAAGAGCGAATCCCCGCTGTTAGAATATTTTCTTTTTAAATTGTGTAATTGTCATTGTCATCTTTAATACATTTGAATCCCTCATTTTATCGAAACTTATTGAAAATTCAATTGTTTTTCACTCAGTTATGTATTCAGGTAAAGCCCCGGATCCTGCATTTGCAAACTCGCCACATAGCAATGCAGTGGTGCGAAATGTTTTTAAAATGCTTCTTATATCTTGTGTCAGTGTGACTTAAACGATTTTTTTAATCATATCATTTTTCAAAAAATTTCTCTTTTCATATAGAATGGATTCAGACACCATTTTTAATATTCTTCTTTTTTATGAACTTTGAAAACTGAGAAATATGTTGCTTTTCTGTTTCAACGGGAAATTGTCTTTGCCTTCTACGCCCCTGTTCTTCAAAAGTAAAACAAAAGGAGCATAAAACACAATACACGTCACATTCAGCCGGTTTTTTGATTAAGAGACATACGCTTTATGATACATTACAAAATCATATTGTTCAATATACAATGAAAACTTCACAGTTTAGTTCATGCCGATTAATTTTATTCTTTTAAGGGGGGGGGGGGGGGGGGGGGACTGGGGGTATGGTTACGTATATCAAACCGTCAATTTACACTGAAGCAATTTTAATGTTGGTGACTTAATTACTTAAATAGCATTTTGTCTTTTCCAATAGAAAAACTATTAAACAATCACAAAAAGTGTTCTGTTTCTACGGATCCTGATTCAACATTGCCAGGAATACAATATTGGAAAGCACAATGATAATCATTGTAACTGCAAAGAATCCCTTTTCTAGATCGGTACCCAAATCCTTGTATTTAGCCCAGATAAGCAATCTCGGTAAGAACCCACGTGAGAGTTCCTTGTAACTTCGATTACGTAAATTGTAATTCACGTGACTGACAATCACAAATATCTGCACCAAACAGGCAATGGACAGATCCATTACCATCTTCATGGCTAAAATCGACAGGGTGGGTCCTGAAGATTCAGGGATTTGTTGAGTTACTATGGTTAGATATACAGCTATCGCCAGAAGCAGTGTCACGGAGTAGCCACACCGTTCACCGCAATCCCATGGCAACATAAACACGAATAGTTGAAGAACCTCCATGAAAAGGATAGGTAAAATCAGAAAAAGAACATAATATGCCGCGCGCCGCTTCATGGTAAACACTATCCTCGCCATTGTAATAGGTGAGGTCCCTTCTTTCTTAATGCTGCTCACAGTGATACTTGTATCTTTCACTTGCCAAAAGTTGTTTGTTTCAAAATGATCCATGTTAACTTTACTGCTGTTTGGTGTAAAGACAATTTCATTGTTGAAGAAGCCCCAGGCAGCTACTTCGATGGAACAGGTTTGTGTGTCGTACGGGAAAAAAGAAAAATCTGCACTACAGTCCGAGGTAAATATGTCCATTTTCATCATTAGTGCTGTTCCCGACGTATTAAACATGACTGAGTGTTTAAACATTTCTTGAAATACATCTCGACTATGGGGATTCATTTGAAGAACCTGCGGCGTCCAGACTTCTGTATCCAGGAAATACATGTATTTAATATCATGGTCATGGTTGTCAATACTTACAGACAACGCAGATAGCCAATTTTGTTTGATCCTCTCATCAACCCAACACAGCTCCAGAATACCACTTATTGTAAATTTCCCATCCTTATCGTCATAGTTAATTAGTCTAAAGGCAGTGAACTTCAGGTTTACAAATATCGGGTTCTGTTCAGGACTTAACTCCTTGGCGTAACCTGCAAGGATAGCTTTTCGAAGATCATGCCTGGACGATGAGACTAGAGCACACATTGCTGTTACAGTAATGATAATATTCACCAAAATATCCATGGTGTTGCCTGGAACAAAAACATAGATTATGTAATATCAACAGTTTGTTTGCTGACAAAATGAACTATGATAATAAATTAACCTTTCTTTATTTATCCAGCATCCTCACAATGTCAGTGGTCCCGAGTCAACATAATGCCCTGGCAAATTTCATTCAGTAGTTTGTTGGCTGACATTAGCTATGTCTTTCGGAAAATTAATAAATTTAGATTTGTTTCCTTTCCTTTCTACCTAGTTGCAAAACTGAGGCGTTACGGTTTTATAAATTTTAGAGTCAAAGACATGTATAAAATCATAACGCAACAGTTCTGCAGCTACTCTAAACTTAGCTGCAGAACTGTAGTGCTATGATCTTATATAGTATATTTGACTTTGACAACAACGCTACAGATCCCGTAATGCAAAAAGGTGCAATATCTTTTGCGCACTTTTAGGGAGAATTTCTCCATTTTCCAGCTTTGATCAATTAACTACCGTTCACTCCCTAATTCTAAACACATTTTTTTTACCAATCTGTGTATTTTATCCACCTCCTAACCATTTCAGTCGTCTCTACAGGCAACAAACTTACTTGAGGTGAATTTTCAGCAATCTAAAAGTCAATTCTAAACAAGTGCGTTTATCACTTGCAGAGACGACTATGAAGGGTTTGGAGGTGGATAAAAAAAATACAGATTGGTAAATGAATGTGTCATGAATACAGGAGCGAAAGATAGTAGGTTGATCAATGCTGGAAAGTGGAGAAATTCTCCGTAAAAGTGCGCAAAAAATCTTGCGCCGTATAGATTGCACCTTTTTTGCATTACGGTCGGGAACTGTAGTGTTATGATCAAAGACAAAAACATAAAACCATAACGCTACAGTTCTGCAGCTACTCTAAACAAATCACATTTATTAAGCCTTCTATGATATTTGAGGCGTCAACTGAATCCTTTCTGTTAACATTATCTCACTTTATATGAAAATTTTGATTTGAACAAGATGTGTTTGTGAAACACTATGCGCCCGGCGGCAACAGAGTTCAAAAAAGCTATTTTTAGCATATATATGTAGGTCACAGTCAAGGTAACAAGGTCATTGACCTTAGGGTAATTTGAAAGAGCATAATTTGTAGAGTATGTATACCAAATATGAGGTGTCTATCTCTCTTGGTTCAAATGTTATGGCGAAAGTTCAAAAAAGCTATTTTTAGCATATAGGTCACAAGGTCATCAACTTAGGTGTCATTTGAAAGAAAGAAAAGAGCGGAGTATGCATACCAAATATGAAGTCTCTATTTCCTATGATTCAAATATTATGGCGAAAGTTCGAAAAAGCTGTTTTAGCATATTGCTGAAAGTTAAGGTCATTGATATTGGTGTCATTTGAAAGAGCTTTATTATTGGAGCATGCATACCTAATATAAAGTTTATATCTCTCATGGTTCAAAAGTTATGGTTAAAGCGGACGACAGACAAACAGACAGAACAAAAACAATATACGCCCCGGATCTATCGATCCAGGCGCATAAAAAGAGAGAAGCAAGCTCTCAAACATTTCTGGACAATGTCTGCAGTACTGAAGGACCAAATTTTTCGGCAAGCGAGGTTCGTTTAATAAAGATTAAACACATCACATGGCATTTTAATGCACTTTTATTTAATGAATAAATTTGAGGCATTATTCCAAAATCATGACAAAAATTCCCGTATTCATGCAGTAATGTTTTTATTACTGAAAACAGGAATAATCCCGTTTTATAGTAATGCTTCCCCGAAAAGGGAACTAATATAATTCAATATCAATTACTTTATGCTCGTGTCGTTAAGTTGAAGACACATATTTTTTTTTTTTTTTTTTTTTTTTTGTTTGTTTGTTTGTTTTTGTTTTTTTGTATGTCCAAAGTATGTGAAAGCCAGAAAATATTTTTTAAAATTATTTGTGTTTATATGATTATATATATACATATCTGCAAATTTGTATACTTTAAAAATTCATGTTTAACTCTGCCAATGTGTAATTTACAGCTGATTTACATGTAGGGAGAGGGCGTTATAAGTCTTCAGAACTTGTGCCCAATCCCTTTGTAATTAAATGACAATAAAATATGTTCGAATCAATATTTATGATAACTTTAAAGTATTTGTTAAAAGTTTGATAGTTAATCTGGTAAGTTATTCAAAGACAAAAAATGCTAATTAGAATATTTCACCTGAGCTGTCATTAAGGCATACCCCACCTTTTTGCAAAAAAAGACATAAAATATGCATTGTAATTTAGAATATACATTTTTCACAGTTTTTGTTGAATAAGCCCCCCCCCCCCATTTCAACCTTCAATTAGCTCCCCCCTTTCAATTTGCTTCCGATTCCTATGAGTCATATAATCAACAGACAGACAAGCTATTGAAAAGTATTGCCAGATTTCAAATAATTATTATTGCAAATTTTGTTTAATAAATCACATTCAAGTACACAATTCAAGGAATTAAAAACAGCTACAAAAGAAGTTCAACGTTGAGTATTGTGTAAATAATGAATATTGTAAGCTGGATCTTTTGAATTTCTCAAGCGCATGTCTAATATCACTAGTTATCAACATCAGTTTGATATCCTTACCTTTTTCAAACGTGTCTTTCCTTAATCACTCTCAATAAACTTCTTCCATTGGATTTGAAAACCTTGAACCAACTGCATTTACAATATTGAGTAAAATCTTGTGAATACTGTTCGAACTTAAGCTACATGTAAGCGCCCCAGGCAAGCTACGAAACCATTGGTTGTACCTTTGACCTCAAAATTAAACATTTGCAATTGAAGCAAGCACTTACATATATATGGGTGTATATACAGACAATGTCTACCACCTCCTCGATAAATAAAATTAGCAAGTGTACTCTCTAAAATTCTTAATTACTCTTCATTTGTCTAATATGATATTTAGAATTATAAATATAGCAATTTATTGTCCCTCGCTTTCGCGAAAGCGAGTGGACATTAAATTCATTCGTCTGTCAGTCTGTCCGTCTGACACAAAAACTTTACCCTTGTTCATAAATTTTGAATGAGAGGAGATAGGACTCTCATATTATACATGTATATTGGCTGTGACAAGACCTTTCTAGATCCAGAATTCGAAGCAAGTCTGCTCCAAAAACCCTAACCTGCTCTAAAAATATTTATAAGCTGACATTTCAGCATCTGAAACATTGACTGGTACAATGAAACACACTAGAAGCATCTTCCATGCATCTCTGGATTAATGGAGGGCACATAATAGGTACTTTAAAACATAACTGCACCCAAAACGTAACCTGCGACGCCAACGGTATTACATTAGCTCCCCCCATTTCGTTGAGGTGAATTAAAATGTAAAATTAAGTATCAACTTTTCAAAAAGCTTGCCTGACTAAATCAATCAATATCTGCAGGAGGAGTGATAAATCTTTTTGAAAATATACTTTTGTGGGTTTAAAATATGTCCTTATCTTATAATTTGAAAACCTTGTGTAAATGGAATCCTTGATTTTATTTAACTTTAGAAGAATCATCTCTACACTATATAATAAAGAATTGTTATTCTGGGAAAGGGGGGGGGGGGGGTCTGCAAGTGGAGTGATCTGCCTTTGGATCTAAATTGAAAGCTTCATTGTAAACCTATCATAAAATCTGTTATCAAATCATGCATTGTAAACATTTTACAATATGGATATAATTAAATACACATTTTGTTGGAGTGTTGTTTTTTTCTCTCTACTAAAGTGAACAGTTGTGATGTGTGTTAATTTATGGGGGGGGGGGGGGGGGGGTCCTTAAAAAGGGGGTAGTGCCACTATCATATATTAGAATGAAATAAGTAAATTCAATATTTAAGCCTTTTTTGGAAAGAAAAATCTAAGATATTGCACTGGTTTCTTATTTATTATGTGCATCTTAACAGACAATTAAATAACAGAGTATGCATCTGGAGACCATGACTTGTTGAACTGCGTTGTTTATTATTTCTGGACTAGTTCATTTATGGTATAAACCAACCAGGGTATCAGGAAACAAATTAGAAAAATCATTTCTTTAGTGTTGCATGTCCATATACTGATATACATATACATATACTGATATATGAAATATGTAAAGAAATGTAGAACAAGAGGCCCATGGGCCACATCGCTCATCTGAGTAACTCGGGTGATGCAGTTCTTTATCAGATTTCCCCTCTTGTTATATCCATTGAGGCCCTCTAGCCCCCCCCCCTCCCCTGTCATGATTTTAACAATTTAGAATCTACACTACCCCACGATTCTTCCACATAAGTTTCATCTTACCTGAACCAGTGGTTCTTGAGAAGATTTTTAAAGATTTTTTCTATATATTTCTATGTAAAACTTGAATTCCCTATTGCGGCCCCGCCCCACCCCAGGGGTCAAGATTTTAACAATCTAAAATTTACACTACCTCAGGATGCCTCCACATAAAGAACCTGGTTCACTTGTCGCAAAATTCGGCCCCTTGTCAAAATTAATAATATTCCTCTAAGTTCTTCTAGAGAGTGTATATTTTTATGAAATTATCAATATATACCTGTACAAAGCTTTATTTATGTTTTATATAGCTGTAAAGTTAGCATTGTTTACGTTAACGTTGCGATATTTTGACGTTGATTTATGCGACGTCAGGAACAAGAATGGGATACAATATTTCAAAATATATCCAGCTAACATGCATTTTTTATTATGTAGGTTCATTAAATTTCTCTCACAAACGCAAAATGCAATTTATTTTTCTACATATGATAGTATACCATACTTACTAATTTATTTTTCATTATTAATGGCAAATATTTGAATCAATTCGTATGTTTGACATCTTTTTTAAAATCATATTTATTAGAGAAAATAGTTGTTTATTGGTGGGTTTTCATATGTTAGTGGACTGATGCCATGAGATTCATGCCGCTAACAATATTTAAAAGAACTTGAAACAAAAATGTACAGGAAGTCTTAAAAAAAATCACCATCATACTATAAACAGTTTACTATTTTATCGTTAGTTTGATGACCCTACTCAGTTTGTCGCCTTTTTTTATGACGTCATTGCTTCTCTATCTTTCTTCCCTCTGGTCATTGCATTTTTTTAAATAGATGTATCGTCGTGTTATTTAATACTGATTGAAACCAATTTCGCTTTTATGACTTTATCATGAACAGTTGACTTAACAAAATATTGAAGATGGAACTACGCCTAAGGAGAAAGACCCTCATTCAATTTTGTCGCTTGTTGAATTACAATTTTATATGTTGCGAGTAAAACTTTTCAACGTAACTGACTTTGAAGGTTGGACATCCGGACTGCGAATATCAGCTCAAAATAATCTCTCCTCTACCTTAGTCATTTGTTCTCCCGAGAAAAAAAAGTGTTATCTGGACTTATTTTGTCTATCTCTATTCGGCGGCCAATTCTACATGTATGTGATTATATAACACGAAGCACCACCATCCCATTTCCAGCGTTTTTTTTCTTTTTTTGGAATTTACATTTAAGATTTTTTTACTCTCTGCCAATTAGTTTCCGGTCAGATCTCAAAGAACTGAGATATTGTGAATTTTACGACATATTAGTAAATGAAATTGATTATTAGATGACAAATGCTCACAGTTATAAATGTGTTTCCCCTACTATTATAAAAATAAGTCGTTATTTGAGATGTATTGCTTGGTTATACCAATGCTTATTGAAACATTTTTATAAGTTTTATTCAAAGATGTAAGCCGTATGTCTTATAGTTAAGAAGTGGAAAGAAAAGAATGGTGTTGTTTTAGGTTTAAGAATTTGTTCTTGTACAAATCTGTATGAAAAAGATCTAACATATTTAATGTTTTACTGAGTAGACATAAAAATCGATGTTGGACCGCTGAGTGAGATGTTGGACCTGTCGATGAAATGTTAGGCCGCTTACGTCACATTATGGGCGGACCTTAATCTCATTTGCTTTCGTTGGTGATAAACAGTGATGGATATGAAGTTTACATCACGGGACGCAGTACAAGATACATGCATGTAAAAAAAAAACTATAAAAGGTATTTTTAAAAAAAACCATTTATTGACCGTGTCCTCGGGCAAAATGAGTTATGTCGACCCTCGACCCAAGTTTGGTTCGAAAGTCGACAAAATGCATGTAGCTCTCGAACTCGGTCAATAAATGTATAATATTTCTCGTACATGTATACAGTAGTTTATCGTTTCGATTCAGCGCATAAGTTTTAAAGACGGTCGTAATAACCAAACTTTGTAAACGACTAAAAGGATTATGATTGAAGTTGTTATAGAAAATGATTTAGTGTGCATGTAGCTGAAGACCTGTGCTTGCTGGTCTGAAAAAAAATGGAATTGACCACGGTCACCATAAAACTACATGGTCAGTTCTGCAGTTAATGTGCATGTCGGTGTGGCTCGCCGGCTTTTGGCTTTCTTTCTTTCTTTTCTTATTTTATTTTTAAAAACAATATTCCAAACAGAGAATTCGAAGTAAATTCATGTTATCATAAAACAAATTGTAAGCTATTGTTCTGATACATGCAGAAATATTACCAGAATCTACGTGATACGCGTATTGAACAGACCGAATTTAACCTTTACATTTCACAATGTCAAGGTTTTGTGTTATCGTTCCTCTTCACAAGGTTGTATACGAGAGGTGCAATTTCACAATAAAAAAAAAAAACTTGACGTTGTGTAGATATATCGGTTGGTACATAGATGAGCTAAATACTTGTACTTAATTTCACACCCGTAGTAAACAAGGAGCGAAAGGTACACTGTACATGTACCACACAGTTTATTCATTATTAAAAAGCATGTCGATTCTCGGAAAAGTAGACAGGGTTTATTTCATCTTGTACAGTCATGAGTGTGACACAGCAACTTCCATGGAGCAGATTAAAAACATAAAAACAAAACAAACCTTTAAACCCTTTTCCTTCCTATATATCTTATCTACACTGTACTTTACAAGGTATTCTTGAACGTTGCATACCCCCCCCCTCCACATGTCATCATTTTTTGGTAGTTTGCTATATCAGTTTTGCTTTTGAAAATATAATCAAAAGAATGGAATAAGGTGTAGCCCCCTTGAAGGAAAGATCACCCTAAAATTTATTTTTAAGAGCGGGGCGGTCTTACCAGATAATAAAATTGATATAATTTACATGTTCTATGGGTTTATATAATGATATGAGTGGTTAGAACAATATCATTATTTGAAATATTTTAGTCACTTTTTCATAAATACACGTGTATAACACTGGCGTATTTAAGGCGGGCGTGGGGGGCGTGCGCCCCCCCCCCCCCCCGCTAAATTTTTCAAAGTATGATGTGACTAATATTTATTATGCCACATTTTGGTACAAAACTAACCAAACCACTACTATTCTGCCTGGTTTTACTCTTAAAATACACAAAAATCCCAGAGCTTCCGGGGGTTGCGCCCCCACCATTCTAAGTATGATATGACAAGTATTAAACACGTCGTACTTTGGTACATCACTAACCAGTACCACTATTAATTAGTAATAAGTAAGTAAATCGTTTATTATAGTGGCATGTGTTATAATACAATGAGAATTGAGAAACATTCAATACAATTATTATTCAAACATCTGGACTTGTATGCCACTTTTTAACAAAAATAATTGAAAATTATGCACTTTTATTGTGCCTGGTTTTACTCTAAAATACACGAAAACCCAGGAGCTTCCGGGGGCTTCGCCCCCTGGGCCCCCACCACTGGGCCTTAAGGCGGCCCCCATACCCCTTGCCTCTACAAAGTTATCCACGCCACCCCTAACCACAAATCCTGTATCCGCCCCTGTATAAGACCGAAGCACTTATAATCATTGATAAGCAAAATATAGCTGTACACTCAGCATTTGTTTAGCTCATTGATAATTAATCAAGCGTATATTTTTTTTACATAAGGAAAAAGTCGAGAGAGAGAGAGAGAGAGGTAAAAAGTTAAGTTTGGAAGAGTATAATTATGTTCAGGGACGTAGCAACAGGGGGGGGGGGGGGGGGGGTTACCTTTACCTTTACTATTGAAAATGTCCACTGAAAGGTGGGTTGCCCCCCCCCCCCCACTTCTTAGTAAAGTGATATGAAGGAAATGTAGTCTTGTATGCAAAAAAATGGAAGTAAAAGGAAGTTGGGCTTGGAAAAAGATAGCCACAGTAGTAGTGAGGTAATTTTTTTTCGTGCTTACTACGACGCGGGAACCTGTCTCCACGTCCCACAGTGGGATTCGAATCCGCGACGTAAAGATCAATTCCTTACTTGGCGACTCTATAGAGCACAATGCTCTAACCACTGCAATACGCTGGTCATTGTCAATTTCTTAGCAAATATATAAAATGAGTGTCGTAATAAGTATTTAAGTTTTACAGATGCTTTCTAGAAGCATAGACATAAGGCGCTTTAGGTCTATGCTTAGAGCACATGCATACTTTGTGATTCTTGACAATAAAAAAGTATCTTTAAATTTTCTATCCTCTGCCCCTTTGTTATTACGATACAATGTAAGTATATATTTCTTACGCTTCAGATTAAATTGCACAAAGGCCTATAGATCTATATTAATATCAAAAATGTTACACCCCCATTGTGACGTCATTATTTTTAAAAATGACGTACTTGTATTTCTAAATTGTTTTATCGATAAGACTTTATAGACAAAGGCATTGCAACTAAATGTATAAAATAACATTGACTTGATATTCATAATATTGATGTGAAGAATTCATCCTATAAATTTACGATTTTTCGGCGATAACTGGCGAGTAATATTACGTCTTATAGCACCATTTTGTCTTATTCATGGGTTTTGGTGGTTTAAGAATTAACAATTTTTTTTAAATAAACATAGTCCGCAAAATAACACCATCGTAATTTTTTGCAAAAAGAATGCTTTTAAATCACTATTTCATCTGAGAAAATTTTAAAGTGGTGTTATGATGCGGACCTATTGAAAAATGCTTTTAAGTAGTTGATTTTTAACGATTTTTCCGGAAATACGCATTCCATGCATGTTTTGACCGCCATAATATAGTTAAACGGGAACACATTCTAAAAATTTTGGTTTATATTTTAAGCAAGCATATATCCAACATTTATTTCCACTATAAAGTTTTGATTCAGTTGAAACCCAACTTTTTGGAAATTCTCAGGGCCAAATATAATAAGAAGTGAATTTTGTTCTTTAAGCTCCACTGGCCCAGTGGTTTTTGAGAAGAAGATTTTAAAATATTTTTTCCTATACAATTCTATATAAAACTTTGATTCCCTATTGTGGCCCCGCCCTACCCCCGGGGGTCATGATTTTAACACTTTTAAATTTACACTACCCCAGAATGCTTCGATAAAAGTTTCAGCATTCCTGGCCCAGTGGTTCTTAGAAAAAGATTTTTAAGGATTTTTTTCTATATATTTCTATTGTGGATATACCCTACCCCCTGGGGGTCATGAATTTAACAATTTAGATTCTACACTAACCAAGGATGCTTCCGTATAAGTTTCAGCTTTTCTGGCCCATTGGTTCTTAATGAGAAAATTTTTAAAGATTTTCCTAATAGATATATTTCTATGAAAAAATTGGATTCCCTATTGTTGCCCCGTCCTACCCCGGGGGTCATGATTTTAAGAATTTTAAATTTACACTACCCAAGAATGGTTCCACATAAGTTTCAGCTTTCCTGGCGAAGTGGTTCTTGAGAAGAAGATTTTTTAATGACCCCACCCTATTTTTGTCTGTTCTTGATTATCTCCCCTTGTAAGGAAACTTGACCCTTCCTTTTAATTAATAATTTAAACTCCCCTTTACCCAAGGATACTTTGTACCAAGTTTAGTTAAAATTGGCCCAGTGGTTCTTGAGAAGAAATCGAAAATGTGAAAAGTTTACGGACGGACGGACGACGGACAAAATGTGATCAGAAAAGCTCACTTGAGCTTTCGGCTCAGGTGAGCTAAAAAAGGATACACGGACATGTTGAAACGGTGAATCAAATGGAATAATCAGTTCCATACAAAAAGAGTAAAGAAAGTAACACTGCAGTATTTTGTATCAGTAATATTATTCCTTTTCCGGAAAATTGTTTCTTTTAAAATGCAGGTAAAGAATTCCAATGTTAATCAGCTTGCACAAATTCTAGCTCTCTAGGTATGATCGTATAGTTTCGGATCATGCAAATACTAATCCTTATACAGCCTTACGCCGTGACGTCAAGCAATAGTGAACATTTTTTGTTCGATGGTTTGCGAAATTACATCGTTTCTATCATTTCAGAAGTAATGTAAGTAGAATATTTCCAACTTTTCTGTTCGAACATCCTGGGGTGGTCTTGATTCTACATTGTTCAAATCATGACTTCTGGGATAGGGTAGGCCACAATAGGTATTTTAACGGTGAAAAGTCTAGTAAAGAACAGCATGGTCAAAGTTCCTCAAGTGAATGCTGTGGCCCAAGGGCCTCTTATTTTTATCGTCAGTTACTGAACATTCAATAAAGAAAAAATAAATACAAAATTTATTTATTGTATAAAAAATATATCACAATCATATATGTATGTAATAGTACAAAAAATCTATAAACATCGTACTACTTATGCACATCACGTGTGAACTAGGTGAAGCCTTTAAATGTACAAGTATTTCATATGACATTCTCAACAATTACTCATCCACTAACAAACATACGCATTAAACACTCATACACAAAAAAAATCGGCATCTTTCTAAGAAGTCATCAAGACATTATGGTCAAAGACTGAGATTGCTTAATACAAATACAGCTAGTATCATGGCAAGATACAATAGCAAAAAAATGTTGGACAAAGAATCTCTTTTAATAGTTTGGAATTGTCATTATCATTTCTATTTATCGCTAAAAAGTAACTGATTATGAGGAGAGCAAAAAAATATTCACATGGTGAAACTTCCGAAAACAGTTACACTGGTAATTTTCCTGAAGACAATAAGTTATTTTATCCTTATCGTACGAGGGTACTGGCTTTTGTGGAAATATGGCTTTCGTCTGCCCTTCGTACGTGGATATGGAATAAAAGAGACATTTCACAGCTTTACCCCGAGTCCTCAGGATCCCTATCCCGCCTCCCGAGGATCCCAATAGCACTGCTTATTAAATATTTTTTTCTTCTACAAAAAAAAATTATCAAAATGTAAATTAAAGCTGACTCTGCCATTAGTTTTCTTGGATGTTTTATAATTTAAAAAAATCATCCTAGTTGTCCACTCACTTTGTCTGTTTTCTGATTAAAATCCCACGTCTCCGTTGTCAAGTTCACTCTGTCTCGGTGAAGACGGCTGGAAGACTGCATCATCGTTGTCATAGCCCGGATTTGAATAAACAGTGGAATACACATCGTTTGCTGAAAATAAAGGCAGAAGAACATGACAAAAACTGCCCAACAACTACCGGTAGTCTTAATCCAAAACCCAGATATGTAAATAAAATATGATATGTAGGTATTGTAAAGACATACCCCTCTCGTCAATAATTGATCCAGGTTTCTCCTCCTCCATTTCCTCCGAACGTGGCCACAACATGATCACCACTTTTCGGATGATGGTGAAAATCAAAATGGCGGTGGCGTTAAAGAAGTTACCTAGTGCTACCGCAGCGTCACGATATGGCGGTGACGCGTTCGTTATGACGATCATCCACACCATGAAGCAGCCGGCTGTGCACACACTGGAGACCAGAATCCAACGTGATTCGTAGTTGTTGTTATCACTGTCCCATGCCATGGCGGAAAATATGGCAGTAAGCAAAACTAAAAACATGACAAATATCATGGACATCACCAACGCTTTGTCGTACATGTCATGTGGATCGCACATCATCCAGTCGTGTATCTCTGTCGCATCAGTCATCAAACTTGCAGAGGGAGGACGATGTACCAGCCATTGAATGGGTATGATTAACTGCACACAGACTATTCCCAAAGCAATTAAGAGTAATACCCCGGTACCCGTGATTCCTTTGTATTTTTCATTTATTTGCTGTTGGTTGAAGTAATCGACGTTCTCGCCAAATCGCCAGTTGTCGACTGCTTTGACAAGAAGAGCAGCAAATACGATTGCATATACCACTCCCATGCAAAACTGTCTAGCTCCACATGTATCTGTTGCAGCTGGAAGAAAGAAGGCGAAATTGATGGCATAGATTCCAAGAATTCCAAGCATCGTCATAAATCCCAGTATGGTAGTGCCTCCCCTGATTTCGTAGAAAATTAGAAGGTATAAAAAGAGGAAAAAGGTGATAAACAATCCGACACAGGTAGGAACTGCTACAGCTATTGCCCAAATTGGCCACTTGTAGGTTAAATCATAGATGGGCACAAATTGATTGTTAATTGTAGTGTTCATAATGTTATAAAATAGATAGTTCCTAGGTTCCGATGCTTTGACACGTCTTAGTGTATCGTTGCCTGTCTGCGCACTCACAACTGGGGCTAAACAGTCACAAACTGCAGTGCTTCGACAAGGCGACCAGTTATTTCCCTTATTGTTGTCGTAGTTTGATGAGAACTGGAAACTATCGCTGATCAAGCTACCAATCTGAAATGAAAAGGGAGCAAAGGTATTAAGACTAGTCTGCTAGAAGTTTGTGAAGAAAAAGATGCAGCAAAAAATTATTGATTACTGACAAATTGATATGTGTGCTTCTTGCTGTAAACGGCTTTTACTTACATCTTGGTATCCCGTAGAAGTGGACAATGTTTTGATATTATAGCCAACGTCCCAGAAACGATCGTTATTAAATTTCAAGATGAAAGAACGACTCAATTTTAAACTATTCTGGATATTCCATTCGACATTCAGAATTCTGCTAAATAGTTCATTCCAAGAATCGTCTACTCTGAAACATTCCTCAAAGGAAGCCGTGGATAGACATCTGCCATTGGACACTACGTCGATGGCTTTAGCGTAAGCATAAGTGGCTGCAATGGTATTCAGGACATAAGGCTGAAAATCTATCCTGGCCCAGTCAGCTATAGTTTCACTTCCAGTACAAGCACTGTATTGTGGAAAGTTAACTTTCGCAGATTGAATGTTACATTTGTGGAACATCTGGTAAAACTCTTCAAACCAATCATCAGGAATCCCTTTACGTTCATTGAATGTCAACTCACTGACATATTTGGCAAACTCTTCAACGGGAGTTGATCTTGGCTCCACCGTGATTGATCCCAAAAGGTCCCCCTCCATTCCACTGACAACTTCAAGGCTAGCACCCCATGTGTCTGTTCCAATCCATACATACTTGTCCAGCACATTTAGATCTTTAGCAGCTTGTAAAACAATCTTTGGATCAGTTGATATGAGAACAATCACTTTAGACTTCGAGTCGCTTTCGATATATCTTATTGCATCCTTTGCTTGTTCTAAAGTTGCTGGATAGGGAACAGCTATTTGAGCCCCAGCACATGTTTGCAAGGCGCTTGTTCTGGTTAAGAAATACTCGAATAGAGTTCTTCCATAAGTATCACTGCTGTAGATGACAGAAGCTGAATTCCAGTTTTTATTTTTTAGAATTCTAGCGATTACGTCCATTTGAAAGTTGTCTGGTGGAACGGTTCTAGCAAAATATGGATATTTCTCTTTATCACTGAGTGCAGTAGAAGTTGCGCTATTGCTTATAATAGGTACTCTTAGTGGGGCTAGGACGCGGTTTGCTGCCATAACATGATCAGAGGTACTAGTTATAACACCGGCAAGGGTCTTGTTGCTTATCTCTCCATCAAATGAAAACTCTGTATTGCACAACCGTCCACGTGAAAACAAACTGTAAAGATCCTGATCTACTCTCAAATTGTTTGAACAACTGTCGACAACTAGACCACGCAGTTTGTACTTAGTAGTGGGAAAGTATTTATCTAATGTAAAAATAAAGGCAAGGGCATTGTAGAATACACCAATGTCAAGATGTCCACATAAATAAGGGTCTGTTCCTCGTTTGTGAATTGGCAGTACAGCTAAAAGGGTGGCTCCATTTGAGGACTGATCTCTGGCAGGCTGAAGCATGTATCGCTGCAACAAGTTCCGAACAGTAGGACATTCAGAGCA